GGAGAAAGTGTGCATGTGTATGTGCACGTGCATGCGTGTGTGCGTGTCCATGCATTAACACACAGGTAGGACAGAGGGGACGAAGGGCCCCTCAGTAATTTTTGAGACAGGCAGGCGGATGCAGCCCAGGGGAAGGGACAGCGTCCATTTGGGGCCCTCAACCGGGCAGCGTCTCCTCTTGTTGCATGCAAAGTGAGGAGAGAAAGAGTGAAGGGGGAGGAGATTTTGTAAAATCTTCCCATGAGTTTCCTCTTACTGATTTGGTGGTTTTATATCGCCCCAGTGCAGACGACAGATCTCTGAGGTTATTTCAGCCCCAGCAATGAGAAAGCTGGAGGTGGCAGAGGGGCCAGCGGTGCCGGCGCAACGAGGGCAGCTCACGGGCCCAGAGGGATGGCGCCGGGAAGGGAACAGGTGGGAAGACCACCCTGGTCCTCTGTGTGGCAACATTGCATTCACGGGGTGGATTTTGATCTGTCGATGAGCTCTGGTTACGTTTCGCTCTTTGTGAGCAGTCGCACATTTGCAAAGCGGCTGACACTTCCCACGACTTGCTAAAAATTCCTTGGCACCCGAGCGGTTCCTCCAGCTTTGTTCAGCTGCAGGGAGCTGTTTCTACCAGCAAAGTGCTGGTACAAAAGACAAGACGCTTCTCAGTTGCTGAAGTGCCGGCGGTCCAGAGGAGCAGGGCAAATCCAGCTCCGACCAGGGGACGTGGGCGACTTGGAGAGGCAGGGTGTGGAACAGGCTGTATGCCGTGGGCAGGCGATAAAGCGGGGAGGCAGGCTTTGCAGGGAGCACCTGCATCTTCCCATGCAGGTTTCACACCCTCCCTTGTTGGACAATCGAGTGGCTAATGCTCGTCCGTTCCCTTGCAACGCAACCAGCATGGCAGCACGGAGGCATTGCAAGCTGCTCTCCTGCTCTAGTGATGCTGCCGATGCTGCAGGTACCCAAAGGGGCTGGGATCTGACTGTAAGATCTGGGATAGCGGCTGGCGTTGAACAGACTGTGGTGCTACAAAAGTCATTCCCTTAGTCTAGGTCTCCTTATGTTCAACTTGTCTGTTTAAATTGCAAGTTTGATGAGGCCGCCACTGGGACTTCACTGGCTTTGACATGCTGCCTGAGGCCATGGTATCAAGGCAGGGCTAGCGACACGGGGAGACGGCGTCCAAATCCTGCGCCCGCTTTTGCACCCACAGCAGTGTCTGCAGGCCCTTGCAACACGTTGCTTTCTCAGTGCCCAAGGGCTGTGCCTAGGGTGGACGTGCAACTTGTGCTTGCGTTAGGAAAATCACTCTGAAACCGTAAACCTCACATCTGAGCCTTCCCACGGCTCTTACTAGGTGTCTTCATACAAACAAGCATTTGAATGTGCCCTAAAAAATCTAACCTGTGAGATGGAGTGAGAGACACTGCAAAGTCTGCAGTCGTGTTTAATTTTATCTCCAGTTTCACAGGACTCTTTTCTCAATGGTGAAATGGGCGGTGCATTGCAGAGTCAATCTCCATACTAGTGACTTGCAGGCATTTCCGCGGTGCTTGCTGCGAGCGGGGAAGTGTCCTGCCGGGACGGTGCTGCGAGCTGGCAGCGAGCCCCCTCCCCGGGTCTCTGGTTCCTCCCGATGGTCCCACTCCCAAGCCCCGCCAGGTGGATTTGAATGCATTGAGGGTGGGTCACAGGACAGTGTGCGCTGGCCGGGGCTCTGCCCCTAGCAGCATTTGGTGACGGATGGGGCAGGTATCTGCATATTCAGCACGGGCCCAGTGCAATGCTCTGGTGTGCGTCTTGCAAGCCACCACAGCAGGCAGAACTTTTCTGCCGATAAATCTTGTTTTTAAAATAGGTGCATGTCAGACTGGTAAATAATGCATCTGGTAAATGAAAGCAACGTTCAAATCAGGGCTGGAGTAGGCAACCTGCACTGCAGGTACAGCTAGTCCTGTGCAGCAGGGAGAGCAAGCGGCAGCAGCACCTGGAAGCAGATTGCCTCCTGAGCTGCTTTTCAAATTGCCTTTTAAAATTTTTAGTTCCCACAGCATAGTCCATGAGCTTCTCTCATAAGCATAAATCAGGGAGTGGCTTTGATGGGAACATAAAGATTTTATATGTATGAACTCATACAGAGAGCAGTAGAGAAAGCACGAGGCTCCAGAGGTTTTAGGGCTCAGAGGGAGCCAGGTCTCTCCCTCCTTTCTGGAAGCGTTCCCAGCCGTGTCAGAGCTGTCCTGGTAGGCGTCTTCCTTCAGACCCCAGCTGACTGCCTCTCTTAGCCCCTTACGCTGAGATTCAAGTAGAGCAGATTGTTAATTATGATTGAAAGTCCCAGGAGCTGTTAATTATGATTGAAAGTCCCAGGAGCTGCACGGCACAACGTGCTGTCTGCCTGCAGTGGAACAGGTGGTGCTGCAGCTCCTTGAGCGCTAGGATGCAGGTGGTTTTGCACTGGACAAAGCCCCCCAGCCCCAAGCTTTCTCTTAGGGACACTTGGTCCTAAACGGGACATGCTAGGGAGGTCTGCCCTGCATGCTGGAGGTTTCATGTCTCCACAGCCCCAGCAGAGCTGGGTGCAGCTGCGAGTCTTGCTCTACTTCATCTGAAGGCCAAGCGCTTTGCCTCACCTTGGCTGCTCAGCCTAAAAATTCACATAATGCATGTGTGCAAAGGGCCATCACAGGGGCTGTTTGCAGCATGTCTCTGTTGCATGTTACATTGCTCGTACAAAGCTCTGAAGCTGCGCTATTTGGTTTCCAGCGCCCCAGTGGATGCCCCAGCTCGCTCTGTACGTGCACGCAGCCGTGGAGCAGACCTCTGTAAGCAAAGGATGAGTCAGACAAATGCCTTAGACTCCAGTGCAGCTGGATTGCTGCCATCAGGACCAATTTTCTAATGTCTGCAAGAGAATAAGCCTAGGGCAGATCCCCATTTGCTTTGTGAGTCCTGCCAGCACCACATGTGCCTGGGACCCAGGGCCCTTTGCACCATGGGGGATCGCCTCAAGGCAGCTGTGGCCTTCAAGGGGCAATACCTTAGCACATGCCCTGTTCACAGGACTGGGGCATTGGGCTGGGGCATGGTTGTTCGGCAGCAGATCTGTTCAATGCTTTGGAGGAACTTCATCTTTCCAGGAAATTTGGTAACGTGAGGTTTCTGCCCATCTGCAGAGCTGCTGTCCATCTTGGAGCAGGCTACAATGAGGAGACTTTGTCTGTGATGAATTATGTGCTGCTATCAGAAGCAATTACTGGTCAGCAAAGTGCTGTGAGCTACTATTGAGAAACCTGCTGGATAGACAAGAAAATAGTATGCTAGACTCCTTGAATACTGCTAAATGGGAATAGAGAATAGTGAAGAGCTAATTAAAAACCTGGAAGGTTTCCAGGAATAAACAAAATGGGATAGTCAGGGTACTTGTGAATTATTGTCAAAAGACAAATTCTTCACTTTGGGGTTTCAGATGAAGCGCTTGCAGCAGCTCAGCATGCTCCAGGCCTGCTTCCCTGACTCGAGGGGGCGATACCCCTTCGTGGTAGGTGCCCTTCTCCCACACGCTGGCCGGTGGATGCACATGGTTTCTTCCGTTCAGCCTCCTGCCTCTGTGCTCCTCCTGGAGAGCAGAGCTGCGACCTTCGCACTGTGGCTGACAGAGGCCACTGCATCGCATTCACTCCACTTTTGGGAGATTGGGATCAGCCACTACAGATATGACTTTCTCAAACTTAAAAATAGAAACTAATTCCACAAATGCCCTGCAGTCCTGTGCATGCTCTCCAGCTGGGAAGACGACACGTAAGCTGTTTGCTGGTGTTTGCCTTTGTGCTAAATTGCAAAATGGGCCCCACTGGCTCCTGCTGTGCTGCGCCTGGGGTCTGCACAAGGGCAGTGCTCAGAGGCAGCATTCAGTAACCCTGAGGGCAGCTGTGAGCACTGCAAACTGGCGCTGCTCCTCCAGGACGCACAGCCTGTGGAAAGGGAGGGTCACCCATTGCTCCTCTCTCAGTTTTCCTGCTGCAGCCTGAGTGGGTTTTCATGGCTGGTTGTTTCAGCAGTGCTGCAGACACAGGACAGTTTGTGCAAGGAGGGGAAAGGCACGGAAGTTGTTGCAGGGGGAGCTGGCTTTGAATCACTGAAGCAGCAAAGTTGCTGTTAGTAGGGCTGCTCTGGATGGGAGCTGCACGAAGCTGTAGGCACAGGCTGCAGCCATGCTGCAGTGCGGGGCCTCCTGGCAGCTCGTGCGCAGCCCGAAGGGATGCTGTGCAGGCGTTGCGAGAGCGCATGATGGCAGCGTGGAGGGTGACAGGCACCTCAGTGCCACACATGGGGCTTGGCAGACACCAGCCCAGCTCTAATCGGAGCCACTGCTCCGACGATGGCCAAGTGACGAGGTCCGTGCTCATGCCTGGAACAGCGTGGTTCTTCCCTACTGTATCCACCTGTGCCGGAATAGGATCCTGCAGGCAAAAGTCTGTTTGAGCTGGCCTTGCAGCGTGATGCTTTCTGGGTTGCAGTGCTGGTGTGAGTAGTGTCCCCGGTGCTGCGCTGCGTGTGTGCGATGCTCTGCTGGACGGGGCTGTTGATTAAACCGACTGCAACCACAGCAGCGCAGCCTGTCCCGCCTGCAGGCGACAAAGCTGTGGGACTGCAGCAGCTCTGTGCTGCTGCTTCAAGTGTTTTTTATGCAGACGCTACGCTTTACAGAGCAGCTGCCCATGAAGAAGGGGCAGCATGTAGCCAAGCCCCTTCTGCCTGGCAGCAGTAGGTGCTCCAAACGCCTCGGCCAGGGAGCAGTGTGCCTGCATAGTCGTGGCAAAGCCTAGGCCCAAAGGTTGGTATGAAGAAAACCTTCCCCCCTTGCAGATTGCCAGGCAGCTGCTGGTGTCCTGCAATTTTGCCCAAGTCTGAAAATCGGCCCCTTGCCCAAGGAGACAGAGGCTGCCAGGGTTTCTTTGAGCAATGCCAACAACTGCCTCACGCTGGTGGATCTGGCCCATCCGCAGGAGACACTGTGCAGCCGACGCGCAGGATGGGGCTGCTCGGCCGCGGACAGAGGAGGAGGAGGAGCAGCGCCGGATCTCTCTTGGTAGTGCCTGTCCTGCTGCCACTGCTGGTTTGGTTTAAACTCCGAAGCCGATTTCCCACAAAGGTAATTTTCTGCTTCTCTGACTCAATTCTATTCATCTTTTAGAGGGTAATTAGTATCACTTCAGTGTTCTTTTATGCCCAACTAATTGCACCTTGCTTCAGGAGTGAAAGTTAATGCCTCTCCTTTGAGGTTAGCGCAGCAATATCTAATTAGGGACCAGGCCAGGCAGAAATGTGTACCAGGAGCACCACTGTCTTCGGACTTTGTTTGCACCCGTGGAAACGTTTCCCATTTTATGTTTGAGCTGCTTCTGGATGCTTCAGCTGTGTGGTAATGAATCTGCTGCACTAATGCCGTCTGTACAGTGCCGCATGCAGCAGCCTCTGCGTCTCTGAGAGCAGCTAGAAGAGAGGGGATTACACTTCAGCTTTCATGGAGGCTAAAAGGTCTTGGCAAGCTGGGTCTGCCTGCGCTCAAGTGCCTCGAGGCAGCAGCAGGAGATGGGTTTCAAGGACACACTGTAGCTGCACAGTTTTCAGAGCAAACAAAAATAGTGTACTAAGCGTACCACCTGCATTTCCACCTGTGCAGGATGCTCACCAGGGTTGTTGGCCTCCTGCGCCGCAGGAGGGGCTGGATCCCGACTTTGGGACCTGTTTTGTTCCCGCGGGAGAAGCGCAAGCGACTGAATGCCGGCTGCCAGGCGATGCCAGGTCCTCTGGCAGGACGCGCCACTGCTGTGCAGGGACACGCGCTCATCAGCTGTGCCACAGTAAGAGACTTAAATAACATATGTCATTTCCTTTTAAAAAGTCAGGAGCATCTCTGTCCATGCTGATGTAATTCCCAGCACATCAGGACACCCTGCGCGAGCCAGTAGGCTCTGGGCCGGAGAGGCCTGGGTGAGCAGCCGCGTGCTCGCCATCAGTGCTGGGTGCGGAGGCAAAGGCCCTGGAGGGGTTTGCCTCCAAGGTGAGAAGCAGCCCTGGTTTGTGCACGGAGCGGTAGGCGGTGGTGTCCGTCAGCACCTCGGAGCCCCTCTCCCTGCACCGGCCGTGAAGGCTTGCGCTTGTGAGCACTGTGCGCACCCACCCCAGTAACGGAAATGCACCATGCAACTCTCAAGCAAACGCCTCCGAGTGTGGGTGTGAAATTGTATGCTTTCTGTAATAATTCTTCATCCGACTAAATGACTGTGGAGGCAGCAGTCTGTCAGCAGACATCATGTGAGCAAGGTAGGTTCGTTTCCTGGCTGCCGTCGCCTCTCCCCTATCCTCTCCCAGCAGATCACCAGCCGCTGCTTATTGCTGGCACTGGCTCCTTTGGAGTGAAAAACATGATTTTGTTTGGGGCAGGAGCACTTGGCAAGCCTGCAGTTCTTGCTGGAAAGCGATTGGTGCTGAGGTTTTACTGTCCGTTCAGCTCTGAATCACGGCGTGCTCCCCGGCGCAGCTTGGATGCAGAACACGTCCAGTAATCAGGCTTAGCAATGCTGCTGGACCTCTGCTTTTTATAGCTGGTTTGCACTGACCACGGCATTCAGTACACCTTCAAATCACACAGGAAGGTACCTTAGCTGCAGAGCGAGCAAAAGGAGCAGTGGTCATGAGCTGTTTTAGTAGCTCTGGGGAGTAATGAAGGAAGCTCGGAGGAGAAACACTGTCTGAAATGCACCTTGTCACCAGCAAGCAAAGCCCCTGTGAAATGATGATTTTCCCTAGTGGCTGTGACCTAAAATAGCCAGAGCACCCCAGCAGGCTTGCAGGGCCTGTGGCTGCAGGCGCTGAGCTGTTGCAGCCCTGGCTGAGCTTGGCCCCAACACGGCGCCCGGGGCATGTGGATGCACCGCAGCACTACAGTCACCAGCGCCGTAACAGTCGGGGACAGGGCGTCCCCAGGGGGTGCCTTTCCCTGAGCACTGCCCAGCACCGCGGACCTGTGTTCAACCGTCACTCAGCAGCATTGTTTTTCAGTCTACAAATGGTGCCTTACCAATGCCAACCGGCATGCACATTTAGAGGCCTCGTTTGAGTGGCTGCTGATCAGGCATCAGTGACTTTGATAGTGTGAAGGGCTGGAAAGTAAATACTTCTAGCGTAAATCTTGTCTCCTTTAAAGTAGGTTATATTTTCAAAGCGCTTTAGTTCTTAGGAGTTTGATATTGCAGTGTCAATTGTAAGACAAGTAATTGGATGGGGAGAAGGTTGTTATTGGAACCTGAGATTAAAGGCAGGATTTGAAACGGTGTGTTGTGTGTGGGTGAGTGGTTGTTGTTGTTGTTCACTGCAAAGATGACTCTGGAGGTTTCACAAGCAGCATTTCTGTTTGAAGCCGAGTCAGCTGCCCCACAAGGCTGGGTGCACGTGCGGGGTGTCCTGCAGCAGCTTGAGCGCGCGATTACTCACAGAATCCAAGGTAGGAGGAGAATGCATTTTTTTTTTTTTCCTCCACAGAAGCAGCCACACATCATGCAAAACACAGGCATGATGCTTTTCAAACGCTGCCTCCCCACCGGCCCCCCAAGGGCTGCTGCCCTCCTTGGGCTGTGGCGGGTGGGTTTGGTGGCGAGGGTTCGGCAGGGGCTCGGGGAGGTGCTCAGAGGGCTCAGCCCTGGGGCCTGGCGTCCAGGTCGCTCCATCCGCTGGCTGTCAGCCCTGCCAGGTCACCGCTTGAGCTGTGTTGGAAGAGAAATGCGATAAGTGGCACAAGATGGTGAAAGTTTGGCCGAAAGTCTGGGCGCAATCCCTGAGTCGATCCGCCCCTCAGCGAGGGGGAAAGGCAGTCAGAAGCAGGCAGGTGTGGTGAAAGCCGCTTAGCATGTAACATGACGCTGAATCTGCTCGAGCACCAATATCTCCTCCAGGATTCGTGCCTGGGACAATCTCCATACGAGGTGCATCGGCAGCACTGAGCCCGGCACCTGCCAGGTTTTGCACTTCGGTCCCAGGGGAAACATCTCTTCCCGAGCACATCCTGAGTCCTCTTCCCTGGGAGCAGCAACTCCACGCGCCAGAGAAGCCCCAGGTTTGTGTTTAATCCTTGCCCGGAGTGGGCTGCTGTAATCTCATGGAGCAGTTTGCGCTGTTGGTTGTTCAAAGCACTTTGCGCCCACGCCGGGAGAGGTGGCCTGCTTCGAGGGAAGCCTCTTCCCCTGCACCTCTCTCCCCCGTTTCTGCCCAGGGATGGGGTTGCCAACATCTGCGAATGATATTTTCCGGGTCTTCCCTTTTCATAAGCTGCGCTCGTTTAAGCTGGCATTAGGTTTCTGAGCTGAGTAGGAAAAGGCTGAAATCCAGCTTTCCCCACCAGCTGCCTGCCAGGCTGATCCGACGTGAGCCAGACGCCCTCTTTCCTTCCAGACAGCAAGGATCGCCACGGAGCTGGAGAGCCGAGCGGGCCTGGGAGGGTCTAGTGCTCCGAGGGACAAGGCTGGGCTGGAAGCGCCTCGTCCATGTCGTGCATCCCACGGCCGGAGCGTGGGGCGGCGCATGCGGGCTTGCCGGGTCCCGTGCATGCGCCGTTTGCCACTGCAACATCTTCTGGTCCATGTCTATGCAGTTTGGAGAATTCAGCCCAGTAACGATCTTCCTTGAAACCGGAAGGCAGGCAGAAGCTCCAGCGGCACCTGCAGAGCGGGCGCAGGAGTTTCCTTGTCTTTCCAAGCTGCTTTTGACGAGGATTACTCAGGAGCCTTCCTCCTCTCCCCAGCCCTGCATCGCTGCCGTGGGGCCGTGCCCTCCCCGCTCACAGGACGGGAGAGATTTGCAGTGGACTGAAACTGTGGTGCCTTTCTGACTTTTTAAGGGTAGAAACTTGCCTGAATACAACCTGTAGCCAAGTGCTTTTGGATGGTGATCTCAGATGAGAGGGACCCAGGGTCGACTTCCAACTAGAGCTGGTGACCGTAGCCCTGAACGTGGGATGTCTCCACTGCGTGCGCATCCTGGCCTCCAGCTCCTCCCGTCTCACCATCGCAGCCTTTGCTGAGAAATCCTGTTCGGATGACCAGCAACGCTTGTCAAAACGCAGGTCAAAATGTTATGATGAAGAAATTTTGTGTAGGAGTTGCGTGATGAAGAGCTTCACCATTTCGCTCTCTCCCCGAAACGCACGCTTGTGTACGGACATCTGCTCCTTCGGCTTACACACATGAGCGCCCGCAATGAGGTCTCTGGAACTATCTATTCAGGCATATTTAAGCAGAATCTAACAGTGAACAACGCTTTCCAGGTAATGAGCAGGTGCTGGGTTTCCAGGCGGCCACACAGATCTCGGTGATGTCGCGTTAGCAGAGCAGCGTTCCCCCGCCGGCCGCCTTGGATGTGCCTCTGGCTCGCCGGGCTGGGACTGCGACCTGCAGATGCCTCAGCTGCACGAATAGGGAAAAGCACTTCTTTCTCCTCAAACCATGGCGTAAGCAAACCAGGACAAGCACCCTGTGGTCTTCTAATGCCCCTTTGCCTGTTCTAGCTGCCAGCCAAGAACAAAATTTGCTTGGTTTAATGACAAGAGTTTTATACTTCTAGTCCTAACCTCTCCATACCAGCAGTACCTGCCAGGCAGGTGAGCTGGTTGGCCATGCCTGATGCGGATTGATAGCGGATCAGCTTTTCCACCTTAGTTTGCTTATGACCTAGAGCATTAACAAAGAGGATCTGTTATCCTGCCAGCGCGCTAATGACGCCGGCAAGAGCAGAGCTCCCAAGGGAAGGAGTGGTATTTACTAACCTTTCCTTGGTTCGCTTTACATAATAGCACATTCCTCCAAATGTCCTCAACGTGACTGGCTACTCCTCTTTTTTGTTCATTCTGCATATTTTACTCTTTATACTTGAAGAGTGTCACACAGTGAGAAAAGGTGCTGAATTCCTGTTGTGTCACTTGTCTTGCATCTCCCTTTGGAGTCTATTCTTAGATGCACCGTCAGTTTAGGAATTCAAAGTGAGGCAGTTTTCTCTTTTGAGGTCTCTAAAGATTTCCTGTATCCATATGTCCAGATAGAAAAGAAATCTGAAGGAAAGTTTGAATACTCTCTG